GGCCACCATACACGATACTCCGATGGATCTGAACAAAGGAATCCGCCTAGTAGTTTGCACACCAACAGACCTTCAACATCCGTTTACTCAAGCAAAAATCTCGTGTACTCGATTGGAATTTTGACAAATTGGAAGCAAATTTATTCTAGTTTTTTAAAAGAGCCTTTTAGGAGTCAAAAAAATGATGCATACCTGAAAACCTCAACTAAAGAGAGGTTATTCCTCGATCGAGCCCTTCACAACAAGCACCTCCACCCGACTCTTCATCTGAATTTTTTTGTCTCGTCATCGCGATCGCCATCAATTTTGTATGTAAGTGCTTCACTTCTGTAATTTTGCAAGGTTTCATGGGATATAGCTCGGGAACAAAGTCGCTAGGGCTCGAATAAACGTCATCAAGTATCCAGAAATGGTTATGACCGGCACTGACAACACTTATGACCCTAAGACTAACATTTTCTGATATAGGGCCAATCTAATACAACTCCTGGAGACTAGAAGCACGCATGTCAGAAATTTGCTAACATAGAAACGAGGCTAAGAATAAAAAATCCTCGTACATGACAATGCTTGGGAAAATTTGCGACAAAAGCCTTCAAACATAACAACCGAGTCATTTTCTATCTATTCGTATTCATCTTATGCCATTTCATGACTATCCTGTTTGAGTTATCATAATGTTTGGGTGTCCTGTGGTTAAAGGTTAAGTATACGTGTTTACATTATTTTCTGAATCACGATTGGTAAAACTTGTTTATCTTAGAAACATAAAGCTTATGTCTTTGCTAGATTTGACGTTCTCTTACGTTACTTTATTAAATTCACCAGCTATTATAAATAAGCTTTGGTTAACAGATTTGGGATTCCTGTGGTAAATTGTTCAGCTGCACTGAACGACGCTTTAGGTGAAATCCTGAAATGTTCTCTTATCTAACCAAAATTCAACAAACGATTGATGTAATGCCTAATTCTTAGTCGATCTACTCTAGTCGTCAGTGACACCATTGTAAATATAATAGTAGCACAAGCTAGTGCATGCCAAATTAGCTTTTAAGCACTTGTTCATCCTCTACACAGAGCTCTGCATCCACATCGAATGAGTTCGTGTAAAGATTCCTTTGCTTGCGGTAGAGCTGTCCAGAATGGTGACCACAAGTTGTTGAGCTGCCGCCACCCCCAGTCTGATGGGCTTGGAAGCACTGGTTAACAAACGAGGGTTTGGCCCCGTACGTAGGCGGCATCAAGTACATGCCTCTTCCTGTGTGCAAGGCACAAGTGAGTTCATCTCCATTCTTTCAGTACTCGATAGGATACCATCGCCATAGGTGGAGTGGATGCTCTTACCCTCAGGGCGTCTCCTTACCCTCAAGCATCTCCTGCTTGTGCGCATCCTGCGCACAAGCAGGGTTATGCTAATGTAAAAGGGGAAGGAGGCGCAGTTGGTCTCACGGATAATCCATCAGCTTTGAGAAGATGGATGGTGGCAGGTCCTGACCTCTCCAGGATGATTCGAGAGTTCAAAAGTAGCGACAATCAAACAGTGGAAAATGAGCAGAAGTCCTGTATGCAGAATGCATTCTGCAAAGACGTACTGAATACACAATCTTCATTTAAGAACTTCATCATCATCATCATCATCATATCATATCTTTATATAATAAGTAGGTTAAAAATGGCAAAATTACAACTGATGTGGACTTGCTATATTTTAAGATAAAGGATAAATAAACGTAAAATAAGATGAATAAACCTAGAGTTAAGTCTTAAATAAGAAACAGAATGAATGTAAATATAAATGTGTCATAATATATCAGAAATAGTAGGAATTCGAATTCTTATTATAGACAACAGAGCCACCCCCTTTCCAAAATTTATATTTACAACATCGCTTTTTGCCTTTTAAGCCTGTTTTTAAAAGCAATTGGATTGGAAAAGTGTCTTTAATTATCCAGTAATGAATTCCATGTAATTGCTGCTCTGTGTGCTAAAGAACTACGGCCAAGATCAGTATTAGGTCTATCAGGTTAACCCTTTCACTGCCACAGTTCTGACAAAGACTGTTTTCTGACTGCCAGGTTTTTTTTACTAGTTACCTCAAAAAATCACTCTCAATCTTTAATGGCTTATATCTCAGTCAGTTTTTAAGATATTAAAATGAAATTTTCAGGATAGTATCTGGAATAAACAAATATTTTTTCTACGTTGTCAGGGGGGGTGATCGGGTCATGTGACCTGACTTTCATTGCAAGGCATTATGGGTTTCTTAAAAATAACTATTTTACATTAAATTTCCCTTTCATTTCTCTTTGTATTTTTTACCTAAAACACTGAAAGGACTTAACTCAGCTGAACAATCTCTTCATCATAGCTTTACAAAGTTACATTCAAGCATAAAGGCTAATATTCTTCTTGGGTTGACTATGTCCAACAAAGGTTGAATCTTGAATAAAGGATTGTAACCTTCTTCACCCCTGGCAATTTGGTTTTCAATATTGTTAAA